ATTTGATTCATACGAAAATGTGCACTTTTAAGAATAAAAGCAAGCATTAAGGTCCACCCCTAAACCTAAAGCCCAAAGTATACTTTGGTTTTGGCGTACGCGAGGGCCTGTGTACAGTGGGCATGATGCAAATTTCGTCACCAGAGTAGTATGCGCACCACCCGATTTTTGTAAATAACTTTGTACGCACAGGTCGCACTTGCGCATTGTATTTGTTTTGCACTAATCAGTTGTTCCACAAGGTGACAAAATTGGCCCGGGCCGTTGTTTCACAGTAGAAAACGAAACTAAAAAGATGGAACAACAACAACAGACGGGCACATTGACAAGCACTTGTGTGAGGCGGTTATAAGAGAGCCGCACCTAGTTTAAAAGAGTACAAAGAAATTTTTATCGGTCATAACTTCTGGAGTAAAATAGCGCAGACACTGGACAAAGAAGCTTTCAATCAAAAGGCCGTAAACAGATTGTACAAAAACATACAAATGAGATCATATGATTTCATATAAACTCGCCACAAGTTCGTTAAAACATAAAATAGTTACGAGTAGCCTTGAGAGGGTGTTGGTTGTATTTGAACCATTGACATTGTCTGTATATAGAACATTGCATATGTAATATGACATCTCTAAAGGCCATATCGTTCTCACATCATTAACGATAACTATATTAGTGTCCAACCCGATAACATTGTTTATTTAAAGCATGCGCAAAAGTTTTGTTGTCTGCCGCTTTAAATACTCAAGCGCTTTATGGTTCGATGGATTCTGATTGGCTGACAGTGTTTTTATCGTCCATCAGCTGGAAAAGTTCATTGTGAAAGGGATTCCAATGATATTGTTCCTCTGTGCCGTTAAAGTTGTAGTGTGGACTGTGCTGTTCTTTCATTTTTGAATGATTTTTAAAACTATCTTTGTCCTATAATGTTATTTCTAGGGCAGCAATGTAACCTTCCAGCTCTCTGTGACATGGAGATCTCGATCAACTACAGAAAAACAGAAGTTTTGAAAACTCGCCTGTGTTTGCCACTCGTTCAGTTTCACTACCAGTGCAACCCATCTGAGCTGAGAGGAGAGCCAATCTGCTTCCCATCCACCGAGGGTCTGATGATAGACCAAAAACAGATCCAGTTCACTAAACGCATCCTGGACAGCATTCAGAGAGGTCTGCAGCTGGAGGTAAACCAGTATGGCATCTACGGCTTCCGTCAGGACCAGTGTAAAGTCTTCGTCAGCACCAGCGACCCGTCTGAGATCCAGAACCCAGAGCCCAGGAAACTGCACCAGAACACCAGAGAGCAACTGCTCTGCTTTGATAAGTACTTCAGAGGTATGAACGATGAGAAAGGAATATTTACTAATCACGCTGAATAATCTCTAATATTATAGAGATCATTTATTAATATCAAATTTATTATAGGGAACTCATTTTAATTATCATCTACTTTTATTATCACAAACACAATTTTCAGGTTTACCTGTTACCATGATTGTTCCCCATTACAAAACAGAATATTCGCTAAAATTGCAACCTACAGGAAGTGAGACCTTTTCTACAGCATGGCAGGAAGACAAGTAAAAATCTCATGCCATTTTCTCAAAATAAAAATAATAATAATTGCTGCAATTCTTAATTGCAGCATCCTTCAACCCTGTTACTGTGCAGGGGGGAAAAAAATTAAAGACAAAACATTTATCACTAACTAAAAAAGCATTTGGTCCCAAACTAGCTAACACCTACTGAGTGACAGATTTATTTATGGGAAAGCATTGTATGCAACCCTGTTACTCGGTTTGACATTCATTTTGAAAATAATTTTATAATATAAAATGCATGCATAATTTACTCATTTAAAACAACTGTTAAACATCTCCTTTCACTGACAAATTGTCAACAAAAAAAATTCTTGCATTTGCAACTCTGTTTCCATGATTGTTCCCCATTACAAAAACAGAATATTCACTAAAATTGTGGCATTTAGGAAGTGACATCATTGGGCCCTTTCTACAACATGGCTGGAAGACAAGACTAAATCTCATTCCATTTTTTTCAACTTTTTCACAAATTGCAGAATTGACTGCTCAGCCTTCAACCCTGTTACCATAGTTATTGTGTGGGGGGAAAAAAATCTTTCCATGAATTTCTTTAATTTATGGACAAAGTGACAGAATTGCTTATCAAATGCTTAACAAGCTTCACATTCATGCTTTTAAAGCTTCCTGTAAACTTTCCCCATTGAAAGTGCAAGTTTTTTTTTTTTTTTTTTATATACAAAGTTTTCTGTTTGAATGGAAAGCATGTTACAAATGCTGTCCTGATCGGTTAAAAATAGCCCAGGCACCGCAACTGTATCGTGATGTGGTATGTGTTTCCATTTTGATTTTTAAAAAAAATCTACTTTTTTCAGATCTGATAGATTTTATAGAGAACAGAAGGGGTTCTCCGGATTACACCATCTACCTGTGCTTTGGAGAGAAGCTCCCGGATGGAAAACCACTGGAGAAGAAACTTATTACTGTCAAAGTAAATACCTTTAGAACAAAACAGAAACGCATTTCGAGTTTTGTTTGTGTTTCAGTGTTATAACGTGTCTTTTCCATTTCCACAGGTTGTACCTCTGATTTGCCGTGAACTTCATGAGAGAGCTCAAATGGAGGGAGCATCCTCTCTTCGCAATGAAAACGTTAGCTTGCAGATCTCCCACAACAGCCTTTTTGACCTCATAAATTCTTTGGGTCTCCCTTCAGTGGCCTAAAGCATGAAATCAGTCAGCTGACATGTCTTTCCACACACGTGTGTGTGTGTGTATATATATATATATATATATATAGTGAGAGAGATAGAATTTCAATTCGTTACTGTTATATTTATATCGCAAACTTTCCAGAGGTGATTTCCGTGGGGCATTCAGAGGTCTTGGTCACTCTACCATGTAATAGCAATCTCAAAGAAAACTGTATTGTTCAAATGACCTGAAACATTGTTTTTCCTGTTAATATTTTCTAATGAGTGCTAGAGCCTCATTTTAATATCCCGTCTTCTAGTGAAGAATCTTTCACCTTTCGCCCAAAGGGCTGCTCTTGTATTGCCTCTTGTCTGTCGCTTTATGAATGTGATGTCTAGAAAGTAAATGTACTATTATTTAAAAAAAAAACTACGGTTTGACTTTTGTGTATTGTTTTATTGAATGACGTGGATGCCAATATCTAAAGATGAACTATGTATAAAAATGTTATGTATATAAAATTTAATAAACCTAATTAAATTGTCAATGCACAGTGTAATACTTTTAAATATACAGTGGTGTGAAAAAGTGTTGGCCCCCTTTCTGATTTTTTTTTGCATGTTTGTCACACTTTGTTTCAGATCATCAAACAAATTTAAATATTAGTAAAAGATAAGTGAACACAACATGCTGTTTTTAAATGAAAGTTTTTATTAAGTGAAACAATCCTAAACTACATGGCCCTGTGTGAAAAAGTGTTTGCCCCCTAAACCTAATAACTGGTTGGGCCACCCTTAGCAGCAACAACTGCAATCAAGCGTTTGCGATAACTTGCAATGAGTCTGTTACAGCGCTGTGGAGGAATTTTGGTCCACTCATCTATGCAGAATTGTTGTAATTCAGCCACATTGGATCACAGAAACATTTAGTGTCAACTGCTGAAAATTCACATGACATAATGACTCTGATTAATTGTGATAAACTTGTTTTTGTCTGGGACACTCCTTGTGAAAGGAGGATGCAATTTCCAAGAGTAATGCTAACTTTCATTTCTTCTGAAGTGAAGCCTTATTTGGCTGCTTTCAGTTTCGATCACATGGGTATAATAGAAATTGCATCAGCATTATTTTCACCTCGAGAAAGCCAGCTGCAAATTGTGAATGCAAAGAGTGACATGACGACACCCTCTGGTTGCTTGAAGCAACTACATATGACGGGCAATAATTATGATGTTCACTGGTATCTAAAAACATTTTTATTAAGTGGAGAAATTTCAAATGACAACCTCATATTGATTTTTGTTATCAAAATTCAAAAGTTTGTTCATGAGGCTCAATTTATGTAACCCACAGAAGTTTCTTCAGTTAGAAAGAGTTTTGCAATTATTTACTATAATTGTTCTAAAACAGTACGTGGCACACAAAAAAATATTTTGAAAAATGTTGGTTTTTTAAAACCCAATGAAAAGTCAATGTGGTTTACATTGGACATCAATGTTCTTCAAGGCATCTGCTGTCTTCCAAAGAATATTAAGAAAATTGACCATTTTAATTGGGTGGGGGGTATCTATCCCTTTAAGACACTGCAAGAAAGACAAAGTATAAGGGTCTGTACCTGACTTTGTGGGGTTGTAGCAGACCTTCGCAACCCTTCTTGCTTGAAATTTAATTTGAAGAGTGCAAGTTCTAAAAGAGGCACGGGAAAACATTCAGAATATTTTACTAGTTTTCAAAATCATTTTAGCTTTATGAATGCTTCACACCAAATCTGATGTGACTGAAGTCATTTAGTTATTATCTCAATACTTCCAGAGTTCGTTACAGACCAGGGGTGTCCAATCCTGCTCCTGAAGGGCCACTGACCTACACAGTTCAGCTCCAACCCCAATTAAACACAGCTGAGCCAGTGTTAAACCTCAAATGCTGGCTCTCTTGTCAAAGGCTGAATTTGTCAGGAGGCTAAACTTCCCAGACAAGTGTTGGGGCAAGTTGGAGCTTAACCAGGGGTGACCAAACCTGTTCCTGGAGGACCACTATCCTGCAACCCTAATAAAACACACGTCACAGAAACATTTAGTGTCAACTGCTGAAAATTCACATGACATAATGACCCTGATTAATTGTGATAAACTTGTTTTTGCCTGGGACACTCCTTGTGAAAGGAGGATGCAATTTCCAAGAGTAATGCTAACTTTCATTTCTTCTGAAGTGAAGCCTTATTTGGCTGCTTTCAGTTTCGATCACATGGGTACAATAGAAATTGCATCAGCATTATTTTCACCTCGAGAAAGCCAGCTGCAAATTGTGAATGCAAAGAGTGACATGACGACACCCTCTGGTTGCTTGAAGCAACTACATATGACGGGCAATAATTATGATGTTCACTGGTATCTAAAAACATTTTTATTAAGTGGAGAAATTTCAAATGACAACCTCATATTGATTTTTGTTATCAAAATTCAAAAGTTTGTTCATGAGGCTCAATTTATGTAACCCACAGAAGTTTCTTCAGTTAGAAAGAGTTTTGCAATTATTTACTATAATTGTTCTAAAACAGTACGTGGCACACAAAAAAATATTTTGAAAAATGTCGGTTTTTTAAAACCCAATGAAAAGTCAATGTGGTTTACATTGGACATCAATGTTCTTCAAGGCATCTGCTGTCTTCCAAAGAATATTAAGAAAATTGACAATTTTAATTGGGTGGGGGGTATCTATCCCTTTAAGACACTGCAAGAAAGACAAAGTATAAGGGTCTGTACCTGACTTTGTGGGGTTGTAGCAGACCTTCGCGACCCTTCTTGCTTGAAATTTAATTTGAAGAGTGCAAGTTCTAAAAGAGGCACGGGAAAACATTCAGAATATTTTACTAGTTTTCAAAATAATTTTAGCTTTATGAATGCTTCACACCAAATCTGATGTGACTGAAGTCATTTAGTTATTATCTCAATACTTCCAGAGTTCGTTACAGACCAGGGGTGTCCAGTCCTGCTCCTGAAGGGCCACTGACCTGCACAGTTCAGCTCCAACCCCAATTAAACACAGCTGAGCCAGTGTTAAACCTCAAATGCTGGCTCTCTTTTCAAAGGCTGAATGTGTCAGGAGGCTAAACTTCCCAGACAAGTGTTGGGGCAAGTTGGAGCTTAACCAGGGGTGACCAAACCTGTTCCTGGAGGACCACTATCCTGCAACCCTAATAAAACACACCTGGACCAGCTAATCAAGGTCCTCAGATTCTCAAGAAACTTTCAGGCAAGTGTGTGGGAGCTGAACTCTGTGGGACACTGGATTGGACACCCCTGGTCTGTAACGAACTCTGCACCTACTGAAACTTGAATCTTAAATTCAGACTTGGTGTGGCTAGGGAGCAAAACTAAATGGGAAAAGTCAAATGTTTACTCACTGTTTAATTTCTCAGACTGGGGTTCTGCTGGTTCCTGCAGATTCCAAGTAACTCGTTTTCCCTGCGATTTAGACTTTGCACCAGCCGTAACCATTTCCGTAGTTTGCTTGTTCCCTGCTGGAGTCTCTGGAACGGCAGACTTGGGGTCGACAGCTTCTGTTAAGTCGGCCACAGAGCTCTCACTCATTTCCTCATTTCCTAAGTCCAAATTATCAATCAAGTAATCAACACTGATATCTTCATCGGAGGAAATACCAAGTTCTTGTTTTATTGTTTTATTTGGCGGTTGGAGAGGTGACATCTCCATGTCCTCCTTCAAAGGTGGCGAATGATAAGACTCAGTGGGCTCCTTTATACAGTTCACTGCATCTATGGCAGGCGTATCCAAATTGATGACAAGAGGGTTGTCACTGCAGCTTGGTGAATCATTTTCATCAGGCCATATATTTTCAATTTTTATCTTTTTTGGCTCAACCACCATTTCTTGTACTTTCATCTCATCCTGTAAGCTAGCGTGGCTCTTCTCTAAATCAGCACTGCCTGATTTAATTTCATTAACATATGGTGATTCCAGGCTGAAGATGTCTAAAGATGTCAGCTCTTCTTTCTTTATCTTTTTAACGCCATCTAATTCTCCACACAAGTTGAGACAGACTTCTTCCTCCTTTTTGATGTCTTTCAACTCCTTGACAGAACCAGTGGGCCAAGGTTCTTCCTGTTTAACTTCATTAGGCTTAAGCAGCTCAAGTGAAACATCATCCTCGCTTTCTTGAAGTGTTCTGGTTGGGTCATCATGTCTTGATGACCCAAGTCCATGGGCTGTGATCTCAACTGACTGGGTGGTCTCTTGTTTAACAAATGGTAATGCAACAGTCGTCTCACACTCCTGTGGTCTTGCATCTCGCTCGGTCTTCACAGGCATGGTAGTCTTGTTTGCACGAAGAGCAGACTCATGTAATTCAGTGGACATGGGTTCTGCAGACTTATGGGAGCTCCTTTCAGTACGCCGAGAAATCTCTGATCGTTCTTCTCGCCGTTTACGCTCTCTAGATGTTGATCTTGACCTCTGCCTCTTTAACGTTGTTTCACCCTGAAACGTTGATATTCTCTTCCTTTCTCTAGATCTAGAAAACGAACGGGATCGGGAGCGCCTTCTTTCTTTTGACCTCTTCCTATGTCTTTCTCTCCCTTGGTTGTCATTCCTCTCATGACTCGCTCTTCTCCCGCTCGTCTTTCTTTCTCTACTGCTGGAACTCGAGGAACACCTCCGGTCTCTTGATCGCAGACGTCGCCTTTCTTTCGATCTTGAGCGGGATTTAGAACGAGATCTCTGCCGATCTCTAGAGTGTGACCTCCTCTTTTTTTTCAACTTTGAGTGTTTCTTTTTATGAGAGTCTTTAATTGAAAGGCTTTGCGAGTTTGATGGTGACCGCTTCCTATCTTTGGACTGGGACTGGTGAGGTCTTTCTACCTTGTCCTTAGCTATGTTAGAAGAATTAAAAGCACCACTGACTGAAGACAGCTCTTTACACACCCCATTTCCTTTTCCTTTAGAAGCTTGTTGCAGACTGGCTAGAGATTCTTCTAGCAACTTTGACTGGGGTCTGATGGGTAGAGTTCCAGTCTCAGGTTCAGACTTTACCTCCACCTTAACATTTATTTCACTGCATGACCAGCTTGATCTGGAGTGCTCTTCGGTTTTCTGAAAAGGGCTTCCTGGAGTTCCACCACTTCCAGTGTCCATGCCTTCTTCACAACTAGTAGAATCCAAAGCAGGACCTCCTGCGGGAGCTTGACTGTCTGAATGATGGGGTGATTCTTTGCATGGTCTGTCCCACAAAGACTCTGGCTCTGCTTTAACTTCTGGACACATTTCCAAGTCTCTCTCTGTATCGGAGTGTACATCCAAAGGCTCAGATTTGACTTGATGACAGGCACTTTCATTGAATCCAATTGGCACCTGAGGTGCAGTATTTTGGACGCTAATATCAGGACCCTCATTTTCTGGTTCATTATCAGAGGAATCAGACTCCGTAGGGTTAAAGGGATCATAGACCTCACTCTTCTCCTCTTTGGCTTTTGCTCTTAAAGACAACAGCATCTGTTTACTTGTATTATTCCTCTTTATTGCTTCCTCATCACCTCCAGGCAGAGTCCCTCCTGATGCAGGAAGTCGCTGAGCTTGCCAGGGGTTTCTGCTAGAGTTTATACGGAAACTGATGGAAGAAGAGGATGGGCGTGAGTTTGAAGAGGCGCTAAAAGATGATGTAGTGGAGGTGAAAGAGCTAGAAAATGAAGATGAAGCCCCCGTCCTGTCTGCTCTTTGCCTCTGAGCCTCCACTGTCCTGTTTTGCTGACTCACACCCGTACCTTGCTGGTCAACGGTACGTTCCCTATTGCCAGCTAAGCTGTTCGCTGAAGACCCAGGCAAAGTACCGCTACTGCTGCCACTGCTACTATTTGCACTGGAGGTATTGTCCCTCTTAATTTTTGGTATCCTTGGCAATACAGAAACATCCACCCATACAGGCTTGGGAGGGGGCTTTCTGACAGGTGGTTGTCGGACAGGACCTTCCATGTCTTGATGGGGAGAGTCAGAAAGGCCATTTGGCACCCTTGAGAGGGGTTGACTTCTAATCCCATTGGTGCTCAAGTGGCTATTCCCAGGTCTTGGTGGGTTTAGGGTGATCGGCCTATGAGGAGCTCCCGTATGATGTCCCAAAGGAGAAGGGTGAGAGTGAGGAAGGTGAGGGGAGTGTATAGGTGGAGATGTGGAATTCTGTGGTGTGGAACAGGACCCAGGGGAACTGTGTGCTGGTGGGGGCCTCCTCAAGGGGCTAGAGGAAGGACCAGCCCCTCCAGAGGGTTGAATGAGACTTGTTTCTGAGTTTGGTATGTCTCCTGTTTCTCCTGAGCCCAAACCTCTAGGGGTAGTGTTTATCCAAATTGATGACAAGAGGGTTGTCACTGCAGCTTGGTGAATCATCTTCATCAGGCCATATATTTTCAATTTTTATCTTTTTTGGCTCAACCACCATTTCTTGTACTTTCATCTCATCCTGTAAGCTAGCGTGGCTCTTCTCTAAATCAGCACTGCCTGATTTAATTTCATTAACATATGGTGATTCCAGGCTGAAGATGTCTAAAGATGTCAGCTCTTCTTTCTTTATCTTTTTAACGCCATCTAATTCTCCACACAAGTTGAGACAGACTTCTTCCTCCTTTTTGATGTCTTTCAACTCCTTGACAGAACCAGTGGGCCAACGTTCTTCCTGTTTAACTTCATTAGGCTTAAGCAGCTCAAGTGAAACATCATCCTCGCTTTCTTGAAGTGTTCTGGTTGGGTCATCATGTCTTGATGACCCAAGTCCATGGGCTGTGATCTCAACTGACTGGGTGGTCTCTTGTTTAACAAATGGTAATGCAACAGTCGTCTCACACTCCTGTGGTCTTGCATCTCGCTCTGTCTTCACAGGCGTGGTAGTCTTGTTTGCCTGAAGAGCAGACTCATGTAATTCAGTGGACATGGGTTCTGCAGACTTATGGGAGCTCCTTTCAGTACGCCGAGAAATCTCTGATCGTTCTTCTCGCCTTCCTGTTTAACTTCATTAGGCTTAAGCAGCTCAAGTGAAACATCATCCTCGCTTTCTTGAAGTGTTCTGGTTGGGTCATCATGTCTTGATGACCCAAGTCCATGGGCTGTGATCTCAACTGATTGGGTGGTCTCTTGTTTAACAAATGGTAATGCAACAGTCGTCTCACACTCCTGTGGTCTTGCATCTCGCTCGGTCTTCACAGGCATGGTAGTCTTGTTTGCACGAAGAGCAGACTCATGTAATTCAGTGGACATGGGTTCTGCAGACTTATGGGAGCTCCTTTCAGTACGCCGAGAAATCTCTGATCGTTCTTCTCGCCGTTTACGCTCTCTAGATGTTGATCTTGACCTCTGCCTCTTTAACGTTGTTTCACCCTGAAACGTTGATATTCTCTTCCTTTCTCTAGATCTAGAAAACGAACGGGATCGGGAGCGCCTTCTTTCTTTTGACCTCTTCCTATGTCTTTCTCTCCCTTGGTTGTCATTCCTCTCATGACTCGCTCTTCTCCCGCTCGTCTTTCTTTCTCTACTGCTGGAACTCGAGGAACACCTCCGGTCTCTTGATCACACCCGTACCTTGCTGGTCAACGGTACGTTCCCTATTGCCAGCTAAGCTGTTCGCTGAAGACCCAGGCAAAGTACCGCTACTGCTGCCACTGCTACTATTTGCACTGGAGGTATTGTCCCTCTTAATTTTTGGTATCCTTGGCAATACAGAAACATCCACCCATACAGGCTTGGGAGGGGGCTTTCTGACAGGTGGTTGTCGGACAGGACCTTCCATGTCTTGATGGGGAGAGTCAGAAAGGCCATTTGGCACCCTTGAGAGGGGTTGACTTCTAATCCCATTGGTGCTCAAGTGGCTATTCCCAGGTCTTGGTGGGTTTAGGGTGATCGGCCTATGAGGAGCTCCCGCATGATGTCCCAAGGGAGAAGGGTGAGAGTGAGGAAGGTGAGGGGAGTGTATAGGTGGAGATGTGGAATTCTGTGGTGTGGAACAGGACCCAGGGGAACTGTGTGCTGGTGGGTGCCTCCTCAAGGGGCTAGAGGAAGGACCAGCCCCTCCAGAGGGTTGAATGAGACTTGTTTCTGAGTTTGGTATGTCTCCTGTTTCTCCTGAGCCCAAACCTCTAGGGGTAGTGTTTATTGGCAAGGACAGGGACACTGAAAGGAACAAAAAAAATTACTTTTTGAAAGGATGACTTTTATTTACTGTTTTAGGATAAATACTGACACTAATTACATGCAAATAAATATGGGTATACTTCAAAGTTTGAGATTCAAAGTGCAAAATATACCCAAACCTCTAGGGGTAGTGTTTATTGGCAAGGACAGGGACACTGAAAGGAACAAAAAAAAATTACTTTTTGAAAGGATGACTTTTATTTACTGTTTTAGGATAAATACTAACACTAATTACATGCAAATAAATATGGGTATACTTCAAAGTTTGAGATTCAAAGTGCAAAATATCAGTTACAGACAACATGTGAACAGGCAATAGTCCCTGGTCTCCACTACATAATATGTATCATGTAAAGGCAGATGAGGCCAATCAAAATGCAAATAAACCACTACCTAACAGTGTCATATATAAATAACTATTATTGTGAGGTCAACTAATATGGATTTTATGATGGCCAATGCCAATATTTTAGGAAGTCGAGAGCAAATATAAAGATGATATGATTTCACACTATTTAAAGATAGATAACACATGTAAATAACAGATGCATAGCAAGCGCTGCAACTAAATTATTTTACATATTTACAAACAAATGGGAATAATTTGAAAATTAAATATAATTTGAATTTAGAAAAATAAATGTATACTTTAGATAATTTATTGATTCTGATATATAAGCAAATAAATAGTCAAAATGAAAGTTCTGCTTCCAATACTTAACAGCCAATTGTGAAATTTGTAATTAACGCCAATTATATAGGCCCACCAAAAAACTCAGTCATCATTATTGTCAAAGATTACTGAGCAAATGCCACAATTTCATCATAAATGTGTGAAATATTCATATCACACCACATTTTAGTAGCCTACCTGTATAGCATACAACCCTAACCTCTAGTGTGAAGGCGCACGAGTGGCCGTCGCTTTACTGATAGCGTGGTTTCTCACACATGCAAAGAGAGAACAAGAGTCTTAAATAGCACACTGAATCGACACGCTACATGTAAACGATATTGTTTGTTATATTTTTGTCAAAAATAATGGAGTTCATTTGGAATTATTCAGCTTTTAAGAACAAGCTGAAGATATGCCGATTTCTCCGGTAGTGGGCGGAGCTAATGTGCAAACTGCAATCATTGGCTGGCACTCAATTATTATCGTCCCGTTTTGATTTCAACAAATGAGTTTGAGCAAACGCTGACAATGTGATTAATATTCATGAACCCAGCTGTTAGTAGTAGTAGTATTATCTTTTAATAATAATTACTATTATCTATGACTAACAATATCTTAAACACCACTACTAGTCCTAAGTTCAGCTAAAATTACAAATATGTAATTACTAATCACTAATTATGTCATTTAATAGTGCTTAATTATAATATAATGCTTGATTAACTGATGTTAAGAGTGTACATTCAGATATTTAAGAAGATGTGCCATTTTTACTTCAAAGTTTGAGATTCAAAGTGCAAAATATCAGTTACAGACAACATGTGAACAGGCAATAGTCCCTGGTCTCCACTACATAATATGTATCATGTAAAGGCAGATGAGGCCAATCAAAATGCAAATAAACCACTACCTAACAGTGTCATATATAAATAACTATTATTGTGAGGTCAACTAATATGGATTTTATGATGGCCAATGCCAATATTTTAGGAAGTCGAGAGCAAATATAAAGATGATATGATTTCACACTATTTAAAGATAGATAACACATGTAAATAACAGATGCATAGCAAGCGCTGCAACTAAATTCTTTTACATATTTACAAACAAATGGGAATAATTTGAAAATTAAATATAATTTGAATTTAGAAAAATAAATGTATACTTTAGATAATTTCTTGATTCTGATATATAAGCAAATAAATAGTCAAAATGAAAGTTCTGCTTCCAATACTTAACAGCCAATTGTGAAATTTGTAATTAACGCCAATTATATAGGCCCACCAAAAAACTCAGTCATCATTATTGTCAAAGATTACTGAGCAAATGCCACAATTTCATCATAAATGTGTGAAATATTCATATCACACCACATTTTAGTAGCCTACCTGTATAGCATACAACCCTAACCTCTAGTGTGAAGGCGCACGAGTGGCCGTCGCTTTACATTTTACATATTTACAAACAAATGGGAATAATTTGAAAATTAAATATAATTTGAATTTAGAAAAATAAATGTATACTTTAGATAATTTATTGATTCTGATATATAAGCAAATAAATAGTCAAAATGAAAGTTCTGCTTCCAATACTTAACAGCCAATTGTGAAATTTGTAATTAACGCCAATTATATAGGCCCACCAATAAACTCAGTCATCATTAGTCAAAGATTACTGAGCAAATGCCACAATTTCATCATAAATGTGTGAAATATTCATATCACACCACATTTTAGTAGCCTACCTGTATAGCATACAACCCTATGTGCAATACGACCTCTGGAACTGGTTTCCTTCTTTACGACCTGAAAGGGCAAAAAGATAGAAAACACACTTTTATGACGGAGACATAACTACTACAAACGTTCATGCCCTCTTGCATGCAGATGGTAAAGCAATACTTTCAATCAGCAAAACATTTATATTAGAGCTTTCAACATTGGTGTTAAAAATTACAGGCTTCAGAAACATCAATAAAGAACAAAAAAGTAAAAAAGTATAGGTTATACATTAGCAGAGAGCTCACCAGTTTTCTTCTCGATTTTGACTTCCTCACTTTGTGTTTCCATCTCTTCACTCCCATGTTTGTTTTCCCCCCTAAGGTTGCTGAAGATTTGCTTTTGGTTTTCCTTCTTTTAACTGCACAAACGAGTAATATAATCCCATTCAGATCAGACAGAAACCTGAAATCTAAAACGCCTGATTACACCTGGTTATTATGATCCACCTCAATCACAAAAGGTCAGGTAAAACAGTTAGTAGGCAGTAATGTTAATTTATATTTTTATTCAGCAAGGACACATTGAATTGATCAAAAGTGACAGTATAGACATTTACAAAAGATTTATACTTCAAATAAAAGCTTTTTTTAACTTTCTATTCATCAAAGAATATCGGTCGGGCGGGCGGGCGATCACAGTTTCCACAAATTTATGTAGCAGCACAACTGTTTTCAACATTGATAATAATCAGAAATGTTTCTTGAGCAGCAAATCAGCATATTAGAATGATTTCTGAAGGAACGTGTGACACTGAAGACTGGAGTAATGATGCAGCTTTGATCCACATCAATCAATTACATTTTACAATATATCAAAATAGAAAAGTTCTTTGAAATTGTAGTAATATTACTGTTCTTACAGCATTTTTAATCCAATTAAAAACCATTAAAAAAAAATCTCCCTCTCCCCCCAGATTCTGAAGCATTTTCAGATTTCAGAAGTTTAGACCATGTGTGATTAGATCAGCCAGAACAAATCTGTCTCACCTGTCTTTCTCCTCCGGCGGGATTTGGAGCGAGGGGTCAAGTCTCGCACATAAACAGCCGTGTTGAATCCGGAAACTACAGCATTGATGGTCTCATCCAACCACGTGGACGGCATCATATATCTGGGAGCGAGCTAAAACACAATACCAAACAAAATCAAACACACACTTTGCTCATGCCTAAAGTAGTACTGCACAAAACATTCCCAAAGTTCACTCACTAAGCCCAAGTATGAGCAAAAGTAACAGTTCTAATAATATCTATGTTCATACTTGTTTTAACATTTAATTATCCCATTTACTATTTGAACAAAACCATCCAAAACATTGGTTAGACCAGATGTATGGTGACACACCAATCTCAGCCCAGCAGCACATCATTCAAGACATTGTTACACACTTGTGATTAGACAGCAAAGCGAAAGCATCATGCAAACCTGTGCTGCAGTGCGTGCCTGTGTGATGCGCCGTCTGTTGACGTTGGCCCGAACTCGTTCGCTGTGCTGGGTGCGTGCGATAGCACGGGTCGGTCTGGACGGGGGACGGCTGGTGGTGGGGAGAGAGCTGCTCTCCTCCTCACTGATTTGTTCAGAACCTAGTACAAGATATTAGCAGAAAAAAACACATGGTTATTAATACAATACATAAGTCTTAAATGCACCGTTAATGTAAAGAATGGTTTCGAGAAATGAAAGATGACCTGATGTGCGGTTGTGCGCGATGCACACTGGGCAGAACCATTCCTCTACAGGTACAGCGTCCAGCGGCGGTGTGAGACATTCCATGTGGTACCTTCCATTATAAAAACACAAAATGGGTATTATAATGTTTAAGAGCACTAAATGAATGCAGAGGTCCAGCATACATCATTAGAAGAACAATTAAACACACTCTTGTTGATCTTATTGCTGACATTTAGAAAACAGATTTTAATGACCAACAATTGTGAAAATTCCTGAAAACTGACATCCCTATTCTAAATTATAACTCGCTAATCAATACTATATATTTCAATTCAATGTCTATTAAAGTTAGTCAGTGTCCAAATCACTGCTAAAAAATAAGCAGTTCACACCTGATACCTGTTACTTTTCTCAGCACTGGTCAAGAAGGACCATTCACAGTCATTTGTTATGACTGAACAGAGAGATTATTTAATCATTTTATGGAGATTACTGGGGAAGACTGATCCTGTTTGTATATGTACAACAGATTTAAAAGTCTTATTCTTACATACCTAAACAAAGTCTCTGTGACGAGTGGGGCGAGGCCGGTGGAGTAAATGATAATGAGCGACACCTGCGCCACTCACCGTCTCGGAGTGAAAACAGTGAAGGGCTCCAGACAGTGAGTGGCGCAGGTGTCGCTCATTATCATTTACTCCACCGGCCTCACCCCACTCGTCACAGTCTCGTTTACAAAAAGGTAGGGTGACCATACTTCCTCTTTTTCCCCCAGACATGTCCTGGCCAGGATTTGTAAATTGCTGGGTTTTGGCTTTGACGAATTGGAATAGAGTTTGTCACCCCTGCTATATGTCGTCACTTCCGGCTCCAATTAGTAGCATAAAGGAATTATTGTCAATGGACAGTTTTGTGAAGAGCATTAAATATAGTTGGACTTTGCCATAAACGTCAATATTTAAAACCGTAGCCTATTTTAAACTCCGCAGGACATCCCTCCAGAAGCAGGACTAGGCATCACTGATTTTACGTTTCTGTCGTATTTGAGTTTGTCATACACTTCTTACCCATCGTCACATCCATCGCACAGCAGAAGACGATCTTCACGATCTTGACCCCCGCAAACCTCACAGCTGGTCTGATCCAAGTCCACATCCACCAGCTCCTCCGTAGGTTTTACAGGCTTCTTCACTGGAATCTAAGCAAACACAAAGTGATACTCCCCGATCCGCCCAACTGAAGCTGATATTACATTGTGTTCTTCAAGAAGTCGGAAATATAGTAATTACGAGGTGCGAGCACATGAATGTGCAAGTTGTAAATTAAAAGATTTAAAAACTTATTTTGCAGAAACACTGACTAGTATAACTAGTATATACGTGATCTATAGAGACCAGTGAGCGGAAAGCAAGTCTGTAGCAAATGGTCTACTAATAATTACTCAACTTAGATATTTAATTGTGATACAATGTGTAAATAAGTTATTTGAAATGAATATTTTTCAGATGCAGATGTAGGTATTTGGGTTTATGGTTCTCAACATATTTTTCTTTTTTTTTTAGACTACTTCGATGTTATAGGTTTCCGACATGTCATAATTACGGGTCATTATTATGATGTCACGTGCATCAGATGAATAACGGATGTGCATCAGGTGTGTTTTTGCTTCTTTATTTTTTTAAATTTATTTAGGTGATGTAAACAATTGTGATACGTTTTATTGTAATTGCTAAAAATATTTTTTCCTAATTGCAGCATTTTTCTTGTAGATTTAAAAAAGTCATTTCATACTTTAACAAATTTATCGTCAACCAAGTCATGTTTTCTCAGACATGCCCCATCACGAAGAATTGTGGCTCAAAGATAAAGTTTCTCCACTTGTAATTATTTACTTAGAATTATTTGAGAATAAAGTTCACACCACAACTGTAACAATAACGACAGAGGATCAATATCATTAGAATCTTTTTTCCAGCTGATCAATGATAAATACATTGACAGCTAATAGTTATTATTAATAGTTACAGTATAATTATAGATATCGTTATCGTTCTTGGTGTGAACAAACCCTTTTATGCGTACCAACAATCCTCATGTAAGGATGCTTTAAGTGACTCACTGTTTTTTTAACTTTCCCGCCGTAGCACTTTCTCAGGAGAATATCATTGAAGACGATTCGGTCCACAGGACAGGAGTTGGCATTCTGAAAAAAAAAAAAGGATAATGTTTATGAACCATTGTTATAGTTAACTAAAACCATACAAATAAAAATATTACTTAATTTAAATTTAAATATTGTTACTAAAAATACATTTAAACTAAAAATTTATATATATATATATATATATATATATATATATATATATATATATATATATATATATATATATATATATA